GGCCGCGGGCGGGCGGGGCGGAGGCAGGATACAGTGCGTCTCCTTCTGCAGCAGCCGGCCAGCTTCGCACTGGCTGCACAGCGGCTTCTCGGCGACCACGAAGAGGAGGTTGGTGTTGGTCAGTCGCTGGGCGTGGAACAGCCTGGAGCGGGGCGGAACCGCGGCGCTCGGCGTCCACACTCACCTGCCCTCCCTGGGCAGCCTCGGCCCTGCCCCCCGGCCGCGTCCGTCCGCAGGCCCCGCCCCTCGGCGCACCTGGAGCAGTTGCCGCAGTCGATGATGGCGTTGTAGGAGGCGTTCACCGAGCCGAAGTAGTACTGGGTCTGTTTCATGACGCAGCTGCTCTCCCGCGCCTCGGCGCCGCCCTCGGCCTCGGCTGGGTCTGCGGAGGCCCCCGACGCCTCAGCCCCGCCCGCCGTCAGCCCCGCCTCTCCTCCCCCTGGGGTGGTCTCTACTTAGAAAGGAGCGGGGTGCCCGGAAAGGGCTTCCGAAATCCTACCAACCTGCTTGGAACCAGCTGTGGTAGATGAGGCCATAGAGAAGCTGCTGGAACAAGGACCTGCAGGACGCGGGGGCATGAGTGTGGGCAGTCAGCAGAAGGCAGGACCCCCTTTCTGAGCCCTCCAGACCAGGGCGCATTCCCCCCCCGCCCGGGGGACTCACCAGGCTGCAGCCGAAGTCCACCAGGCCAGATTAAGGACGTCAGCGATGGTGGGCTGCAGTAGAGAGAGGGCTGAGGGCTGCCCCTGCTGCTGCTGCTTGTCCCCAGGTCACCCACCCCTAGCCCTCTCACAGCTTGGTCAGAGCCCGGGCTGGGGGTGGGGTGGGGGTAATCATCTGTAGGCAGGCCTCCCAGACTCCCATCCCCAGACCACCCTTTCCAGGGACTCACCACAAAGACACCCCTGGGGGCGGCACCCAGGTTCCCTGGGGCCTGGGGTGCACAGGCAGCCTGATAGTCGAAGGACTCCTTGCGGGTGTAGAAGGAGTTGTTGTAGAGTGCCAGCATCAGATTGGCGTCCACCTCACTGAAGAACCTGCCCACCTGGTGGTGCCGGGAAGAGGTTGTGGGTCCAGAGCTGGCAGTGCCACGGCCCCACAAGGACTTAACCTTGCCTCACACCCGGTGCCTTTATTTGGATTCTCACCTGGTCCCACTGATGGTTCTGGTTCGATAGCACCAGGAAGCCCCCATCATCAATGAGAACACACAGCAGGTCCTGCGAGACAGGTGGGGCGCAGGGAGGAGGATGGAGAGAGGTTGGGCCCCAGACCTTCCTCCCCAGAACAGGGCAGGCCTGTGATTCGGAGAGCGCCATTCCCCCAGCCCTGGTAAGGCTGGGAGTCGGCGAGGGCAATGGGCTGGGGTCAGTCAGGTTGGGATTAAGAAGTCGGGGCACACGCACCTCGTTGTTAACTTCACAGTCCATCTCACAGTGGCTGCTGGGGCCACACTGCTGGGCAGAGAGCGAGAGCGGTAAGGGCCACCCCCAGTTGTCCCTCCTTCCTTCCTCTTCCCATCACCCTCCCGGCCACTGCATCAGCCCGTAACTCTCCTTAGGTGGTGGTTGGGGCCCCTTAGGGGCAGGGAGGCTTGGAGGCAGTGTTCCCAGGGATTCAGGAGGGGCCTGCTGGCCTCCTGCTTCCTGCCAGGTACCTTCTGAGGCCGGTCCTGGTGGGTGCGATTGCTGGCTAGCACCTTAAACTTCTCAGCCCAGGCCTCCAGGTCCAGCTTGACGCCCACCACTGTGGAAAGCAATGGATATCATCGTCAGTGCCCACCTGCCTAGGCAGCAGGGACACGCCCGCCTGCCTCCCCTCTGGACACTCACCTGCTGGCCTCAGTGTGCGCCCGCCCAGGCTGAGCTCCACAGCTGTGCTGACCAGAACCCCCACGGTGTCATTCTCCAGCTCCAGTGGCCTCAGCAGGGCTGTGGGTGGGGGGAGCAGGGCTGTCGGGCAGGCTCGACGTTCCACCGGGGCAGTTTGGGTCCAGGAGGCCAACCCCAAGCTAGTTCCGCCAGCTTTAGCACCAGCGGCCGTGTTTGCCACAGCAAGTGGGCAGCTGTGGCTGGAGCTGCCCAGGCCTCTCTTTGTCCGTCTGTCCACCTCTGCTCCAGGCTCTGCCTGGTTTCAGCGGGCCTTACCAGCACAGCACTACGCTGGGTGAGCAGACAGGCCAGGGGGTGGGGCTTCCCCCCTAGGGCCACACTTACTGTCCTGGTGGGGGGGCTGAAATACATAGCCCTGGTTGTCCAGGCTGCGGCGGTAGAAGCTGGCGTTGAAGGGCTCAGGGTCCTCCGTCCAGTCCTCAGCTGCCCTGCAGCATCCAGAGAAGCAGAGGTGGGTGGGCGAGGGGTGGTTTGGGCCTGGCCCAGTAGGGAACAGTGGTCTCAGCAGGGGTGTGGAGACCTCTGGGCAGCAGGGCACTTACTTGTTGGGGAAAACACGGGTGATACCACCATCAGTGGCAGCAAACACAGCCAGCAGGCTGTACCTGGGGGCAGCAGGGAGGGAGAGTCACAGGCCTGCCGTCCCCAGAGAGAGCTAGGGCCTCCAGGCCTACCCCAGCCTCACCCCCAACACCACACAGGCTGGGCGGCACCTACGTGTTGAGGTCCTGGTCCCGCCACACACGCTCCACCAACTGCTGCGTGAGGCCCGTGTCCAGGATCAGGTTGTGCAGAAGGAAGTTGTTGCCTGGAATTTAAGGGTGGGCTAGAGGGGTATCTGCATTTGGCCACCAGTCCACCCCCTCCCCAACCTACCCCTCAGCCCTCGCCACTTCCCCAGGCCCCAGTAGGAGGGGGCAGCTCCATGACCTGGCTCTGTCCCGGGCCTCCCAGTCGACCCTGCAGGAGCACAGCCGGAGCACTCACACTGCTTGGAGTCCGGGGTCACCTTCTCCATGAGTTCGATAAAGGTCTTCAGGAACTCGGTGTTGTTGTCAGACGCGTTCAGGTCCTTGCAATACTCTCTGGGGGTGGGGAGGAGCAAGAAGAGTGGGCTTGGGGCACTGGACAGGGCGGAGCGGCCAGGGCTCCCAACAGGCCCAGCTGGCCCCTCTCGGAGAAGTCCAGGCCGAGTGGGTTCACACAGGCTGCGGGCACCACGTGTGTGCCGGGCTGCCCAGGTCTGAGCTGACAGGAGGGGCCGAATGGACAGGGGGCTTACTGCACTCTGGCCAGTCCTCCCACCTGGGCACGGCCCTGCAGAGCCTGCATCTCTCCAGGGCCAAACGCCTCCTGCCAGCTGTCAGCCGGAGCCTCACGACCTCACCCTGCCCTTTTCTGCGATTCCCTCTGTTTTTCACGCAAAAAAAATGGACAACACTCACTGGCCCCACCACAGGAGGCAGGGGCCCAGACAGCACCGAGGCAAAGCACGTGGCTGTCAACTGAAAGGCTGGCTGGTGGAGCCCCCAGCCAGTGTGCAGGGGCAGAGATACGGCAGTCGGCCCCCGTGAAGGCCTGTGCCCTGCGGATCCCAGGGCACAATTCTACTTTGCCCTCCAGGGTGGCTACGGGTTGGCACTGCCCAAGAGGGGGTTGGGAAGTCAGCAGCAGTCTATGCATAAGGGTCCTTGAACTTGCAGTTCCCTCTGCCTGGAGTGCTCTTCCCCGCTTCAAGGCCCTCACGGGGCGCAGCGTCCGCTCTGGGTCCAGAGCATGGAAAGGATGAGAGGCACGGAGGGGCCTTCTCGGGGCTCTGCTCCCCCAGGGAGCCTCTGTTTTCTGGGATGGAGCTAGCCCCGCTTCCGAGTTCTGCAGCCCCCTCTGGGCATTAGGGACTGTGTCTCAGCCCCTGCCCAGCCCCACAGCCCCAAGGGCCCTTGTGCGGCGCCCGGCCTTCACGTCTCTGCACAGAGGCCACAGCTGTGCTCAACACCGAGTCACACGCAGGCCTGCCCCTCACACAGTGCACGCATTCACGTCCTGGTCACGTCATCACTCACCCGACATGTGAGCTGTCCCGAGCTGAGGATAGAGGTGATGGGGATGACCACAGTCCCCAGTCTCAGGGCCACCCAAGCCTTTCACACGTCGCCATGGTCCCTGAGGCACACAGCCCACCCTGGCACACAGGCACACACACAGGGCCACAGGGAAACGTGCGTACGCGGAGGTGTGGAGCGCCCAGAGCCCCCAGGTGGGTCCTGCAGAGTGGCCACAGGGCTCTGCTAACTGCACCTACCTGCCCTCATCCAAAACCCGTCACAGGACAGGGCTTCAGCACTGGGGGTGGGGGTGGTGCAGGGGGTGGGCACACCCTGGTCTTCTCAACCGTGGGCCACCAGACAGAGTGTGCTCCTGGAGGGTCCGACTCCTCACTTGCCAGAGCAACTCCTCAAAGCCCAGTCAACACCCACACCCTGGTCTTCCAAGTGCCCCACCGTTGGACTTGATCCTGCTGACAGGAGCTCTGGCTGGCTCCGCCCCCAGTCCCACACAAACACTGACCGACACAGGACAAAGATGGGGTGCGGGGTGGGGGTCAGGGAGGCACCACAGACCAAAGCAGCAGCCCCAGGCCGTGGCGGGCTGGCAGGGGTCCCCTGGTGGCGTGGGAGGCCAGCGAGAGGCCGGCTGGCAGGAACTGCAGCTGCGGGGCCACTGACCGCTGCTGCCTGGTGTGGTTACATGGCCTGCTGTGCACACGGCTGCACATACGGAGCCATGTATGGGGTGGGGGAGCAACACTGCACAGGACACACACACACAGAGCTCCAGGCAGGTGCAGGAGGTGGGGCTGGGGCGGTGGGGGTAGGGGACACCTCAGCAAGGCCACACACAAGCTACCTGGGCGCAATGAAAACATGTCCTTCAGACTCAAAGCTGCTGGGGAGCAGGAACTCAAAATCTGCAACAGAAATGGGGGGTTACCCGGCGGAGGCTGGGGAGGGGATGCTGGGGGCTCAGAGCTGGGGGGTGGCTGCAGGGGTAGGAGAGGGGGTGCCTGGAGGGAGGGGAAGACAATTCCAAGTTCAGTTTCCGAGCCAGAGAGGTGGGGCGGGGAGCGGGGAGGGCTTGTGGAGACTACAGCATCGCAGGGGGGGGGCCGGTTATAGCCAATATGTTGCCCGGGCCTGGTCCTCTGTCGGCAGTGAGTCCCTTGGCGTGACTGTATATGCTTCCATACGGCTGTATAGCACATATACACAGACACACACACACACACATATATATACACACACTGCTATATATATATATGCATGGTCGGGGGAGGCGCCAGTCTCGCTCTGATCACATCCAGAATGGAAAAAAACGCATGCTGAGCTTCCTTTGCCTCCGAAGAGACTTTGCGGAAGGGGATCATTCGCTTTGGGCGGCAGATGGATTTCATGTGTGTCTTTGCCGCCTCTCTGCGTTTGGGTTGGTCTCGCTCTGCTTGTTGCTCCGTGTCAGGCACCGCGCGCCTTTCTCACGGGCACACGCAGTCCAACCAGGGACGGGCGGGAGCGGGGCTGCAGCGCATTGTGGGGGTCCGCGGCCACTCCAGGGCAGGGGGCTGGGGGAGCCCGGGAGGTGGGAGGGGCCTGGGGGGGCGGGTCCTCATCTTTGGGTTGCAGGAATGCTGGTGACAGACCTGGGGTGTGGACGGGGCCCCCCAGCTGGGCCCGCGCTCTGGGCTTATGATCCAGGTTTGAGTGCTAGTGTGTATGTGCGTGTGCGCGCAGGTGTCAGTTTTCCAGCGAACTTGGGGATGGGGCCCCTCTGTGGCCTCTCCCTGCTCAGCTGCTCTGGCCATCTGCTCCTAGCTTGTGCCCACTCAGGGCAGCCCACCTTCCCAGCCTGTTTGTACCCAGGTCTTTCACTCACTCACTCACCCCCAGGGCCCACCTTCCCACGGCCCCTCATACTCCCACAATGCACTGCAAGGTTCTAGGGGGGGTGGGGACCTGGGGGGACCAGGCGGTCACTGGTTGGACTGCTGCTTTCTGATAGGACTGTGAGGCAGGGTTTGGACACAAGCCGACTGGGCAAGGGTCTGGGAGGGAAGGGAGGAGGAGGAGGAAGAGGAGGAGGAGGAGAAAGAAAAAAGAGGGAGGAGGGGTGGGTGGGGACACTGTGCTACAGTAGTCGCTGTTACGGGGCCCTGCATTTCTGGGTTCATTCAGTGGGACGGGGGAGAAAAAGACAACTCAAGCCAGTGGGAAGAGGACATGTGTCCCACCCTCACCCAGGCCAGTGGGGGCCACTGCACCCCATTTGCTGGGCTAGGCTGGGCAGGGCCCCAGGACTCATTGGGGAGCCCCTGCTTGCAGGCCACAGGGGATTCCTTCTACCCGCTGCCTGCCCAGACATGTCCTGGGAGGGGAGGCTCTCTGGGAGCCCATGGCAGACCCCTGTCCTGTCCTCACTGCTGGCCTCTGTAACAAGCCTCCCCTGTGCTCCGCCCAAGAACCAGGAACTCACGGTCCACTTTTCCCAGAAGCCTCTGTGGATGCCAGGACCTTTCTCTGCCCACCCAGCCTGGTTCTCTTCGAGTTCCTTTTCAGGGGACACTTTGGGGTCCAGTCATATCCCGTGACTCCCCTGGCCAGACCCGCTGCCCAGAGTCTGCCTTTCTTGAAAGGGGGGCACAGCATGTACACACCTGCTGCCCCCATGCCGACCCTCCGGCTCCCCCGGAGCAGTGACCATCTCGGGGCTGGGCTAGGCCACTGGGTTTTTAGGAAACCTCAGAAGCGGCCGTCCAGCAGTGGGCCCAGGGGCTCCCGCACCGGGGCCAATGCCCGGGGTGGTCCTGTTGAACCTGCTCCCCCTGGCTTTCCAGGGGCCTGCCGCCTGTCTTCTCCTGCCCAGGGCCAGGGCGAGAGGTGTCCAAGGCCTCTGGTCCGCTCTGGAGAAGGACCAACAGCTTCTGGAGCTAGGCAGAGGTCACCAGATGGAGGCCACTGGGGGTGGGGGTGGGGCCTCTGTCTCCTACAGAAACCCTTCTGAGGGCAGGTGGGCCAGCCTACCCCTGACATCTCAGACCCCCTGCCCTGCCGGGTGGGGGTGGTGGAAAGGCATTCAGCCCTGTCCCCACTGTTGAGTTGTCTTAGAGGGTCAGAGAGGGCCTGGGGAGGCATGGACCTGCCAGGTGGGGCTGAGGAAGAGGGGGGCGCCTGGCTCTCTGACCACACTGCAGAACATCCTGCAGGGAGGGCCAGGGGACAGGGCCACTAGCTCTAATGTGGGTCTGAGGGGTGAGGGGAAAGGCAAGAAATGGCGGACCCAAGAGGATGCTGGGAGGGGTGCCCTGGCGAGCAGGGGTGCGGCTGGCCCTGGGCGGGGAGGGGGCAAGCAGGGGCGGGTGGGCAGGGTGGGGAGAGGAGAGTGCACTGGTTTGGATATACTTGCCCTTCAGTCTGCTGATTGGCACTGGGACAGTCCACCAAGAGAGAAAGCAAGGAAAACAGAAACAACACAAACACAAAAACAAACGAAAAGGGGGAGGGGAGGGGGAGGGGCACAAACAATATTTTATTCAATGGCTGTTTGAATGAAAATATTGTGTCTCATCATCATACCGAAAGGAAACTTCTTGCAAAAGAACGACATGAGAGAGAAAGAGCAGGAAACTCAAAGGGGATGGGGGGGGGTGAGCCCCAGTCAGCCAGGCAGGTGGGGGCGCCCAGTGGGCCGCAGCCCCAGCCTCCCTCCCAGTGACCTCAGGCGGGCATTGGGGCCACAGGCTCTGAGACCGAGGCCTTTCTGGGGAGGCCCAGGGGAGCAGGGCATGCAGGGGAGAGCCACAGGCAGGGGCAGGAGGGAAAGGGGAGAGGCAGGGAGGAGGGCAGAGGGAAGGAGGGGAGGGGACCCAGGAGAGGGGGAGCAGATGGGAGGGCTGAGGGGGGGGCAGAGAGGGAGAGGGAGAAAGTTATGAGGGGAGCAGGGAGAGAGAAGGGAGTGGGGCGGGAGAGGGCTGAGCGTGGGTGAGGAGGAGGAAACTGAGGGCAGAGGGACCCTGGGGGGGAGCACCCCAGGGGGAAAGCGCTGAGCAGGGAGGAGGGGGAGGGAGAGGCCAGGGGCGGGGGTGTCTGTCACAGACGCAGCCCCCAGGGACGCAGCCTCCAGGGACGTGTGCGTGGGTGGATGGGTAGGGGGGAGGCAGGCTCGGGAGGGGACACATGGAGTAAGAGAAACCAAAAACAGAAATCTCAACAGAAACCATGAGAATGGGCTGGGACCACATCCGAGAAAAGGTGAGCATGCAGATTTCCACAGACTTTCCGACAGCAGGTGCCCCAGCCTGCGGGTGCCTGGAGCTGGGCAGACGGGGCGGGAGGGGCCGCCTTGTCACCCTTGGCCCCGGCAAACAGTGGCTGGCGATGCTGCCTGGGGCCGGCCAGGGTGCGGGGCAGAGGCAGGGGTGCAGGGCGCAGGCAGGGGCCGGGCCACTTACACTTGACCTGCAGGATCTGGTCGCTGAGGTTGGCTTGGAGGTAGAAGGTGCTGTATGGCGGGAGCACCAGCCCTAGGCTGGGGAGGAGAGGCAAGTAGCAGGTCACTTCTGCAGGGAGGCTGAGCACAGGGTCCCTCCTCCCCTTGGCACAGAGATCCTGGCTCTGTTGTTCCTCCCCAATGGCCAGGCACACCTTTCTCCCATCAACTGACGGTTCACGCAGGTCACAGAAGGCCAGGGAGCCTCATGCAGCACAGCCCCGCCCAGTGGGTGCCTCCTGCAGTGAGCTACGCTGAGGGTAGGCACTGCCTTGGAGTCAGGTCTAGAGTCTGTGTGCATGAGAGCCAGCGCACAGCAGGGTGGGCCTGAGGTGCTAGTTGTGTGTGTGTGTATGTGTGTGTGTGTGTGTGTGTGTGTGTGTCAAGGGCTGCTGTTTGGCCTGTCAGGAGGCCGGCCTGGGGTGGTGCAGAGGACAGCCTGCCCTGACAGGGCCTGGCTCACTAGGGGACCCCCTCTGAGGTTGGGGTGCCTGGCTGACAGCAGGTCTGTGAGTGTGCTGAGGACGGACATGGTCCTGGGTGCAGGTGTTGGGGCACAATCCCCGCGGGGGAGGCGAGGGGGTGCTGGGTGTTGAGGACGCGTCAGATGCACCCCTCGGCTCTTGTCCCGAGCTTCAGAGGGCTGGTACTTGTCCCTGGAGGGCCAGGCAGAAGCCCTGGGGCATTCAGCATCCCCAGGTGTGTGTGTGTGTGTGTGTGTGTACAGGGGTGAACAACCCTAGCTGCTGGTGACCCTCTGAGAAGGTGGTCATGGCTATCAGAGCTCTAGCTGGCTTCAGGGAAAGGCCGGCTGGATTCAGACTCGGCTCTGGGGTCGTCCCTCATCTGTCCCTCCTCCCTTCCCCACCTGCCCGCCCGAGCCCCACTCACCTATAGTTGGTGCCCCTGACGGGTACCCAGGTATAGTCCCGTGTCACTTCGTCTATGTACCTCTGAGAGAAGAAGCTGGGTCAGGTGCAGGGCAGCATGCACTGTGGGGGCTTCAGGGTGCCCGGCCAGGTCCCCACACGCTCTGTCCCCCCACCCCGTCTCACCTCATCCAGGGACTTGACCAGTGTTCGGATCTGCCGGTCACCTTGGTGGCCGTCAATCATGCTCCTACGGATCTGAGGGCGGAGATATGAGGGGCAGGCTCCCACCCCCCCTGCCCCTTGCCCCCCCCCCACCCCCCCAGCTCCCTGCTTACCGCCTCCTTGTTCTCATCCTCCAGTTCTGCGTCCAGGAAGTCCAGGGTCACAGGCTCCCGGAAGTTAGTGGTCTGCGGGAGGCCGGTGGGAGGTCAGCACGCCCCATCTCTGAGGGTCCACCCACTCCCAGACCGGCCGCCTGGGGCTCACCTGGGGCCTCAGGTTGGGGTGCAGCAGCACGTAACCGTTCAGATCGATGGCAAACACGTAGCCGTTGGCTCCAAGCTGGGGGCACAGATGGCAGTGCTCAGAGCTGGGCAGAGACCTGTGCTCCAGAGCTCTCTCTGCTCCCCAAGGGGTGCTGCTTGCCTGCCTGGGCCAAGGGGCCCCACATGCCCCGCAGCCCAAGCCTGGCCCTCACGCCACACCAGGCAGGCTGGGCACCCCTTCTGCGCAAGCCTTTTACAAGGCTGACATGAGAGCATCCTGCAGTCCTCATGGCTCCCTGCAGCCCCCCTGTTTCCACTGGTCCACAGGGGTGCTGCCTGCTCCCTCATCCCTCTGACTGCCCTGCCTGTGGGCTTCCCTGCCTCCAGCCCTGTACCCGCCCAGTTGATCCTCCTGCCTCCCACCCCTGCCTCCCGTGTGCATTGCGGGGACCCTCTCCTTGAGCCAGCGGGCAGCTGGAGGAGCAGGGGCTGTGAAATCCTGGAGGCAGGACAGGTCAGGTGCGTGAGGGGGTGTCAGGGGGCAGAGGTGTGTGAGGGGGTGGATGTCTATGATGGGCTCACTTCACTGAGGGGCGTCTCTATGCAGCCCCCCACTCCCCCACAGGTCCCCTGGCCTTTCAGAGGCACGGTCTGCTGGCTTCGACACAGAGGCCGGTCGCTCGGCCCTTCCTTCTCAGTGGCTCAGGCTCAGGGCACCGCTTCTCCACCAAGACCCAAGCTTACCCCACAGGCCGGCCGGTGATGCTGCCCCTTCCCTGACGTTCGGTCCTGCTCGCCCAGTCGGTCACCTTCAGGCCTTTGCCTGGCATCCCCTCGCCTCCAGGGAGCAGCCCCCTGCCCCTTTCTGCCCAGGACGCCCCTGCATGTGCTGTGTCGAGGCCAGCAGTCCAGGGGCCAAGTATGACCTGCCGCCTTTGACTGTACGTTGGTGAGCTAAGAATGGCGTTTACATTTTTTTTTGGTTTTGTGCAAAATCAGAATTCTATTTTCGACAGGCGAAGATGTTATGGAATTAGACCTCTGGAATCCACAAACGAAGAGGACCGGACACAGCCACGGGAAACAACAGCTAACTTGAGTGGACACTGTGGCTGGGCTATACGACCTGACACATTTGCTGTCCGGCACTTTCTAGAACATCCGTCCACCCCAGTGCTAGACCCCTGGTGGAAGCATTCACTCCCTGAGCCCTGAGCTCCTAATGGAAGCCCCATTACCCCCCGCCCCCCGTCTCTTCTTCGACACAGGCTGGCTGTGCCTGGTTCAGAGGCGGAAGGTGGGTAGGCGGGCACTCACCGTGTAGTTGGGTGTGAGCCTCTTGATGTCATTCAGAGCCACATCGATGCCCGTCACACCCAGGATCAGCTGGTTCTGGGGGCAGAGGTGTGTGAGGGGTGGATGTCTATGATGGGCTCACTTCACTGAGGGGCGTCTCTATGCAGCCCCCCACTCCCCCACAGGTCCCACTGCCCCCCAGTGGCGCAGGGTGGGGTGGGGCTCACCTTCTTCTCCCCCGGGCCATCCTGTGTCAGGTTGAAAACCGGGAGCATCCCTGTCACCACCAACCCCAGTCCCTGGAAGGAGACAGAGCTCGTTCCTGTGCCGGCCCTGCCCCTCCCCTGGGACTCAGAGCTGGGGCTCTGGCCCTGCCCCCATCGCACCCTGCTTCTTTCTCCCCCGTAAGGGGACCCTGGGGGTACCCAATCCCACAGGGCGCTTCCCCTTACCAGGGCATCCTCATACACATTGGTCCACTGCACTTGCTTGGCCTCTTTGCCCGCCAGCACCATGGGCCTGCCCAGCACATCCAGATACTCCTGGAGGGGGCCACGGGCAGGTCACCCTCCTGCCCCCCACCCTGCACCTTGCCCATTCTACCCGAGTGTGTGGGGATCATCCCCTCAGAGGCCACCAGGGGGTGCTCTCGCACCACACCGGCCCCAGGAAAGGGCAGTGGGGCGGGGGCAGCACCCCTCCCCCCTCACTGCCATGCTCACCTGCGTGTTGATTCGGATGGCACCGATGGACGGGATCTCAAAATAGTAACCTGTGAGCGGTGGGGAGGCAGGGGCAGACCTGGGTGGCTTTGCAGGACCCCCTTAGTATGGGGGGGTTACAGCACCCTGGGTATGTCCTCAACTCTGCCCTGCAGCTCCCAGGGCTCCCCACTCCCCGAGCACACGTCCCTTTAGTGCGCCCTGGGGCTGGGGCTAGGAGAGGGGGTGTGATTCGGGGATGCAGAGAGCCCAGCTGGGCACACGTGGGGTCCCATGCTAGGGCAGCTAGGACTTGTGCGCAGGGAGACGGCCTGACCAGCAAACAGATGGACCAGCAAACCGGCAGCGGACAGACACGTGGGCAGAGGGACGTGGGGGCAGGCAGGTGGGCCCCACGCCCCGGGGGCAGCGTACCTTTGTTGGCACAGGCCATCCACTGCAGGGGGGTGACGTCGTAGTTGTGCTGCCCCACGGAGAATGTGAACACGCGCACCTGCGGGGGTGCGTGTGTGTGAGGTCACTGCGGGGCCGCGGGGCGGGGCCCGGGTCAGGGCGGGCGGGGCCGGGCTGCGCCTCACCGTGCGGTTGGGCCAATTGTACTTCTCGAAGACGTCCTGCACGCGGTCTTCGCCGCCGTCCGTGAACATCATGATCATCTTGTTGCAGTTGGCACGCGTGATGTTGGACTGGTGGGGGCGGGCACGGAGTCAGGAGGCCCTTAGTGCCGCCCCACCCCAGGGGCTAAGCCCCTGTCTGTCAGTCGCCTGGCGGGCCTGGCTCTCTGGCATCTCCTTCCCCACGGCAGATGGAGCTGTCTGCCCGAGTTGCCTGTCCGAGCGAGTGCGTGTGCGGCACTAACGAGGCCATCTGTCTTGATTTCTCTGGTGTTGAGGTACCCCCGCCCCGCCCCTGCGCGGCCCTTGCCCGGCCCCTCTCGCCCACATGCCCATCCTGGGGGCTCACATTCTGCAGCTGGTCGAAGGCATACTCAAAGCCGGCCTTGTAGCCTGTGGTGCCCTTAGCCACCATGCCCTGCACGGCCTCCTTGAAGACCTTCTTGTTACGCACGTTGGCCTGCACCAGGTGCGTGAAGCAGGACACAGGCTGCGCCTTCTCGTTGAACTGCGGGAACAGGACGGGGGTGGCGGTGAGTGGCCACAGCCGCCGGGGTGGGGTGGGCCTGGCGGTGGTCCTAGAGGCAGTGTCCCTGGGGTGGCCCGTGCCCGCCCGCCCGCCCTGGCACGCACGGAGGCCACATTCACGTAGTCGTCGTCAGAGAGTGTGTCCAGCATCTCGCAGACGGACGTCTTCATCAGCTTCAGGGTCAGGCCGCTCACACTGCCACTCCTGCAGAGGTCAGGCAGGGGCCCGAGAGGCCCCAGATAGGCCTCAGCTGTCCTCCTGCCCACCCACCCCAGGCTCTCCCCCATGATGTCCCCCGGGGGTGGGGCAGAGTCCATCCCTGACCCCGCCCCAGCCTGGCCTGCTCACTCACACATCTACGATGATGACCATGTCCTTAGGCGACGAGGCCCCCTGGATGTACCTGCCCGGAGAAGCCTCCTTTAGAGCCAGGCCCACGAGGGGCCTCGGGTCCATCCGTGCTGGGTCAGCAAGCTTGTTCTGAACACCCACGGCCGGGGCCAGGCACTGTTCAAGAGGCCTGGCCACCATGCTCAATAAAAAGCAGCCCTTGCCCACGGCAGGCAGGGGTGACCTGGCTGCCCAGCAATGCAGTCTGGAGGGGTAAGCAGCACGTGACCCAGAGAGGGGTCAGAAGGTGGTTGCCTGGCCTCAGTGGCTTGCTGTACCGCCTCCTGCCCTGTGTGGGGGGCTGAGCGGGCACAGGGAGGGAGGAGGTCCTGGCTACCGGGGAAGACGTCAGCAGCAGCAGGCCTGCGGCCTTGAAACCCCAGTGCCTGCAGTGGAGCCCGAGGAGTGGAAGAGGGTCTAGGATGGGGTGGGTGGGGGCCTGGGGGGCCGGGGAGCTGGCCAACCCTGTGGAGGCTCTGTCCACCCCTGGGAGCCCTCACTGTCCCGGTGCAGGGCAGTGGATGGGGGCAGAGGCAGCTGGGAGGCCTGCTTGGGTGATGGGATCCATTTTCCAGTGGCAGCGATGTGTGAAATGAAAATTGGATAGAGCTGGCTGCGCCCTGCTCTGAGGCCTGGATATCAGGAGGGAGAGGAGCAGGGGAGGGGGCTGGGCAGCTGCAGGGGTGTCCCTGCCCAGCCCCTCCCTGCTCACTCACCAGGGTCTCCTTCGGACGTCGTACAGGTCGATTTTCTTGGGGGCTCGCCATGGGGTGGCTGTGGGAGGAAGGGAGGGGTGGGCATGAGCAGGGGCCAGCAGGGAAGGGTCGGTGCCCAGCCCTGAGGGCAGACCTTGCAGGAGGGCCCGTCCTGCAGGGGACCATCCACCCTGTGCACCCCGGGCTAGGGGCGATGTGGAGGAGGGGTGCTGGATGGACAGGGAGTCGGGGAGAGGCTGGCACACACCTGGATAGTAGCGGGTGACCCCAGTGGCACTGCCAAAGACCTGCCAGAGCAGGGTGGGGTCCTGCCTGCGGTTCTCCATGAACACGTTCTCCAGGGCCTCCGTCCAGTTGAGCTCATTCAGGATCACAGTGGCTGGGGGGACACCGGCTCTGTCACGAGCCCCTCCCTACAATCTGGGAAGCCATGGGATCCAGCCCCACCTGCTCCCACAGCCTGCTCCAGAAAGACTCCCAAGTCCCGGAAGGATCCCCAGCCTGCCCTCATTGGGCCCCATGGTTCATGCAGGGGGGCTGCAGCTTGTGGGCACTATGAGCTGGGACCCCACCCCACGTCCTGCCTGGAGCCAGAGGCTGCTCCCCGGGGGAGCTCACCCACTCAGCATGCGCTCCGGGCCGCAGCCACAAGAAAGCAATTAAGGGCCGATGATGGGGCTGGAATTATTCAGCTATTAAAGTACCTGATAAGCTGGAAGCCACTCAGCTCCATGATTAATCAACTGGGGCCGCGAGCAGGAGGGGCGGGGGCAGGGCCTCTCAGAGGGGCATGGCAGTGTCACACTCTGCCATCAACGGTGGCAAACTCGCACGCACACAGCCATACCTGCAGCTAACCTCCCTGCTTCTACTCAGGCGTGCCCCCCCCCCCAATCTACCTCCACACCCACCTGCTCTGAAGCCCCAGCCGCTGTCATGGCTCGGGTGCACACGCTCACACTTACCACCCTTGCCTCAGTGGGCCCTGTTCCCACAAACTCGGGCCACCACCCACCGCTGCCTCTGCTGGCCCCCGCGGCCAGGCCCGCCCCTCCGCACATGCATGCATGCTGGAAGAGTAAGAGGGACCCTCCCTCGTCCTGGAGGGCTCTCACCCAGGCAGAGAGACCCAGGAGGACCTGAGCAGCATGCCCCTGCCCAGCGATGCCCCAGGTGTGTGCATGCTCCTGGGGACATGTGTGTGCCCCAGGTGTGTGCATGCTCCTGGGGGCATGTGTGTG